CGAAACCCGAGCGCGATGGCCCGTTGCGTGCGGGAGATCGAAATGTGCACGTTTCGTATGAAATGCACGGCGAAACGTATCGGCGATATCTGTCCCGCGGTATCCGCCCATTACTGCGGCTCGCTAAGCCCCCCATATGGCGCGCCGACTCGCCGACGGCGGACTGTTTGCGCTGTTAATAACGCGCGTTAATCGCTAATTACACAGCGTCTTAATTATCGGCTCGTTGTCCCGGGACGGGCGTATAAATAGCCTCCGCGGGAAGCCGGTGGGCGCATTGACGTATAGACAATTCTGTCTGTCGGCACCAAGATTCCGCGCGTGACCGCGACATTGCCATTGTTCGAGGCTGTTATCGAATATTTCATTAGTCACGTCTAAATTTCGTGATTTACAATCAATCTTACGTATAAATAAACATATTGATATCTCAATTACGTATTATGTAGTTGTGTGTACTTTACTCTCACAATTAATGCATTTCTTTATCGAACACATTTGAACATTTTTTGCGATAAAAGAAAACGTGACGCGCGACATTGTGACTTGCGCGATCATCCGATTGGCAAGATCCGAGGTTTTATTAATGTGACATTTTCTTCACGCAGATTATACGCCAGTTATGCTGATTGAGCACAAAAATTAAGCAAACTCTCATTTATTTCCATGTTGCACTGGACAAAAAAATATATGTTACATTTGTATATGTGTAGGTACGCATTTTAAAACAATTTTAAAACCTTAAATTAGATCAGACTACGACATATTTCCAAATTGTTACAAAAATAATCACATTATTTATAATTTTCGTTTTGTGACGTCTCTCAAGGATAACTATCACCTCTGTTATCGATGTCCACTGTAATAACCACTCTTGTAGAATCGATACTTAAGGGACTAAAATGTCCATATCTATTTACAAATAGTCATCCCTGGTCAGAACAATTGCAAGCCGTCGAAGCTGGGATTGTAAACACGGCTACAGATTGGATAGACGAATGCGGCGCCAACGTAACGCTGACGCAACATGTAAAGGGGGAACAAACGAGATAGATATGTCTCTCGCGCAAAACCCAACAGCGTATCATCTCGAATTTATCGAAAGCACAGACAGATTCTTTTTATTCAAATGGAATTAGAATTGAAATATACAACTATAGATATTTATCATATATATATATATATATACATATATATGTATATATACAAACGGTTTTAAATAATACCCGAATCATAATTAAAAGCAAAAAAAGTTTATCTTAAAACAAGTAATAAATAAATAAGTTATACCTTGCTTACTTTAAAATGATATTATTTATATACTCGTATGTCGTGTAAGTCGTAATTAAAAATTAAATATGATTAAATCACTATTAAATAATTCGAGTTGAAAATGAGAATCGAAAGGAATTCGAGCGATGCTGGAAGGCCGAAATTCAGGAAGACGAGAAGCCCGCGCGGAGACCGGCTTCGAGTGAGTCGATGTGAGACGAAAATAAAAACCAAAATAAACAAAATCGAAAAGAAGACCGTGTGGATGGGGAGGGGAAGGGCTAAGGGAAGAGGGAACGGGCTCGCAAAATCGCCGTGGCCAAGGGCCCCGAGGTGGACGACGCGCAGGGCAATAAATATCGTGCGATTAGATCTCCGATGCCGCCGCTGTTGGGGTTGGTTACGAACGGAGGGAGCAACTATTAATCACTCCATGTTAATCAAGCCGGCCGCTAAGTAGGCCGCGCCGCGGCATTAAAGTGCACTGCCACGCATCGTATTGGCGTGCCAACGAGACGCGCATACATACGCGTAATACATATAGGCCGGAGGATACACGGAATAGAGGGGGAGACACGGGGAAAGAGAAAGAGCGAGAGAGAGAGAGGCTAGATAGCTCGAACCACGTGTGTGGCTAGCCTCTAGCCTTCTATTCGACTCCCAAGAGTCTCTACCCTAAAAGATCTATACCTACCGCAGAACACGCGCGCGTTCCTTCTCATTTTTGAGGAATTAATCGGGACTAATTGCCACGTCGGACGAGAGGGAAGCTCGCTGCCGATCCCTTCGCCAGTGAATTATAGTATACAATCTGTGCAAAAAAATAGGTAAATGAAAAGGGATTCATAGGAATTCATTCTGCGAAATTACGAACCCTGCTCTCTAAAGATCGGAAAGTTGTTTAGATTTCTTATTCCACATATTTTCTTATTCTTTTCTATTCATTTCACTTCGATAACTAAAAATAAAAAAAATTCATTAACATACCAATTATGATATATACGCTAAGATATTATTCATCCCAATACACGTACGAAAAGCTTATACTTTATTGAAGTAATTTTTTAGCTAAGCATAAATAATATATGACGCTAAAACATGCCAAATGAAAAATTTTATTTTTCTTAACAAAAATAAACAATTAATTTTATCAGGATAAATCATTATTACTTCCTTTTAATTCTACTTTTTTTCTAATAATTGTTTCATTCTGCAACTTATTGTTGATGCGCATACAGATCAGATGCGGATCAGATAAGCATACGAATTATCTGATTTGTGAATTGTGTCTCTGATAGATCGCACCTCAAGGAAATGTAAAACGACTGATCGAGAGAGGAAAACTGGACGTGAGGAAGAAGAAACAGCGAGATGACGCGAGGTCTTTATGGACTTGTTTGTCCCTCTGTGGGTTTTTACGAATTATTCGAAAAGTTCCGTTGAAACGCACCCGAAAGATCGTTTCGGACAATCACGCGGTAGTTAGATCATGCAATCTTCTCGTTCGCAGTAACCCGTATCGTAATCTGCATCGGTTACGATCGTAGTAATAGAAATTTCTGTCAATATATCTCGAGCAAAAAGTTATGGTTTCAGCTTAGCACTTATTAAGCGATCATTCAATTAAATCGATTACAGGTACTGCGTTACCTTTACATCTCTTTGTCCGAAAATTCAAAAATCAAAGGTAAATTTGCATATTTCTTTTTGCTAATATAATTATGACATAAGTAATAGCAATAATTCAGAATTCTCTTTTTAGATGTTGACTTGAACAAATTTGTTCCACGTGATATAACATGTTATTTCCCCTCAAGCCCCTCGATCCTTATCCAATTCCTACCAATTCTCAATTGTCACGCATATCTTCTCTTCTCTGTGCTCAAAATAGAATTTATACAAACACCGATCCGTTTCCCGGTTAAACCTCCAGTTTCTGCTATCCCCCTCCGATCTGATCGACCAGCGTCCGGCGCGGTCCGAAACAAGGCGGGTAGTCGCGCGTGCAGCGGCGCGGCGGTGCACGAGGGCGAGGTAGACGACGTTGTACAAAAGTAAATAAAGTCTCTCAAAAGACTGAGAAAATATGTCGATAAATCTAATGTCTAACTGAGAGGTAGGTACGGGGGCCCGCGGGGAAACAGTTGTCTCGCGCGCACCGTTGCGCCCAACGATCGCGATGGACGATTGTTTCCCCATGGCGCCAGTAGCCCGTACCAGAAGTTACTTTCGGATTGTCTCCCGTGAGCCGGGAGCGTGGCGAGAAGGGCGACGATCTTTCCACCTCTGAGAAAGTTTTCGAATTCCTTCTATCCACGACGACCTCTTTTCTCATCGTCGTCGTCGTCGTCGTCGTCGTCGTCGTTCATCGTTCCTCTCTCTTTCTCCTTCTTTACTTTCCGACATTTAGGTCCGAAGTGTGCCTACGTTACGTCTACAAGCATAACTTAAAGCATGATATTGATTTAACTATAATGAAAGCAAACGATCCATGCACTGTATCTTTTCTATTATCTCTATAGTACAAATCCAATAGTTTAAAGAAACAAAGTACAGCTTTTATGACACAATGTCATTGTAACAATTTTCTCTAATCGTATAATATTTTAGCCATGAATTTGTACACCATTTAAATTTGTAATCCTTGCGATCGCACTATATAGACGTATTAAAAACATGTATTTTTTTTCACAGCGATAACAGTCAAATATATCCGATTCATTAAATCTTTCTTCAATATTAAGGAAATTAGCAGAATTAACCTAAGAATTATATACTTCTCAGTTCGCATCAATTATACGCTATCGATCTTTAGTAATTATATGTCGAAATTCGCCACTCGCCATTACAAGCAGATCAATGCACATCTACTAAGGGAAGCAGCGCGCCATAAAACGCACGCACGAGCGCACTTAATTTATGCCCTTCCTATCACCAAGTCTCACTTTTAAGGCCGCCGGGTAAAGCCCCCGAGGCCCAAGGCGTTACTCGCGTGTGACGCGTGCAATTTCTCGTGGAATTATTCCACGTACGCCAACGGCAGTTCGTGATATACGGTCGGGCGCGCGAGAGACGTGTCCCTCCTACACGCGTGACCCTTTGACTCCGGTCCGAATATTGAATTACTTTAATATCTCGGAACGCGAGATACACGCGAGATGCACGATCAGCCGCGGCTCGCTCCGATCTTCCAGGCGTGCGTTCAATTACGTTTCGCGCCACGCGCGTACCTGTCTACGTATAATTTTATATAGCAACGACAATGTCGAACTACCAAGCTACTTTACCACCGAGCATTCTCGTAAAACATTCATCGGTTCCCTCGTGCTGGTAGGAAGTAATTCTCTCGCGAAGTAATTCTCCCCCTCCCCCCTCCAAGAACAGATTTATAGCGACCAGAAAAGAATTGATTGTACACCGGATATACAAAGATATAGAAGGCGGCGATAAATCACATCAAAGGGAAAATACAAAACTTGCTCATAATTCAACATGAATGATACTACATAGTATTAAAGAAAATAAAATTAAATACCTGATAGATTTCCAGAAATCTCGTACCGTGCTGTTAACCTGTAATGCAATAATTAACCGAGAGTCACTTAACCGACATTGCGTCTTGCTCACGAGCGAATTCACGAAATTGTACTTCCACTTAGCCCACTCGTGAAGATGATCACGGATTTGAATTCCTCGAACGTGAATGGAGAATAAAACTATCAATTTCATTTTTTTTTGGTATAGTGTGTATCTCTTAGTGTATATCTAAATGCACACATTTTATTTAATATCGTACACAGAGTTACTGTCCACTCTATTTCCATCTGTTTTGATTTTTAGCTAATTCATATTAATCATTATTACTCATTTTTAATAAAAAATAAAATTTGTGATTTTAAGTGTGTGCAATTCGTATCATGCAAAACAAGAATATTAAATATTTAAACAAAAATTTCATAAAATAATGACGAATTGTAAGAAGTTATTAATGTGCTCACACTTAATCTACAATTAATAGTACCTATACATGTAAAGCGGCCTCTAGACAATCAGTATTATTGCACAATATATGTATCAAACTGTAATTCAGTATAATATTGTACTGCAATATTATATAATTATATAATATGATCGTCTAAGGGCCACTTAAGACATTTATGCTCTTGTCTTTTAGGTACATAATATTTCGTTCTTCCATTAAACAAACATATAAACGACTATTTATTTTACACAAATACTCCCAATTGTTTTCTATCGCAATCTTACGATACTATGTCTATGAATAACCTTATTAAAATCTTATTATTACATTAGTTACAATTTAATTAATATAATAATAAAGTTATTTAATTACTAAAATAAAAATATGTATACATAGATATAAGCCAGAGACGGACATTAGTATCGTGAGATTTCCGAAGTTCGTTACTATTTGTTTTCAATATAAAATATATCAGTAAATAATATCTACTGTTTGGGAGGTGTGTGTTATTGATATCGATGTAACAATTCACACGTTATTGTAACTCGAATCCGTTCGCGCTACAATCAGTTTAAAAATAATCGTGCAAACTGTGAGGTATCTCTGTTCGTCACAGAACAACCGACTGACTATGCGCATGAGCTATCTTAGACACTGTAAATCTCTGCTTTAACTGTGTCCAAAAATGGAAAACTCTGCGTTAAGTATCATCGCATTCCTAGCGAATACATGGTCACTTGACTTGATTAAAGCGTCCCCTCGTTTGCCGTCGTGGTTTCGCGACAACCGTGGTCGTAAGCAGATTTTCCTCGAACGTGTCGACGGTGAAATCTTGCTCCTTATGCGCTTTGGGCATGACTCTGTTGCTGACCGGGCCGTTTCGCCTCATGCGAATGTTCATCGCGCGCTCTATAATTCCGTTCCTAATATGCTGCTTCTTTTGCGCCTGAAGCTGTTTGGTCGATCTGGAAAGCGGAGGCGGCGGCGGCGGCATCTTCGGCGGCGGTAACCGCGCGGTCGGGCCGCCCGGCCCGATTCTCGATGGACCCGCCATCCTCGGGGGGCCTGGCATACGCGGCGGAAAACCGGGATGCGGGAAACCCGGCCCGGGCGGTGTCGGCGGCATCGCCTGGCGCATCGGCGGCGGCCCGTACCTAAACGGTCTCGGTCCGTAGAGCGGCGGTATAGGCGGCATACCAGGCGGAGGTGGCATCGGGCCGAATCCCGGCGGTGGACCCGCGAATCTCGGCGGCGAGAATGGCCTGCCGTTCGCGAAACCTCGCGACATCGCGTATGCCGGTAGCGTACGTCCCATCGGTCGGCCTGACGAGTTCTTCAACAGTGGGCGTATCTTCAACGAATTCTTTTTATTCGAGGTTATGATAGGATCCGGCGTCAATACAACTTGACTCGTGTCGATCTTCTCACCGCGTTGGACTTCCTGCAACGCGGCGAGGTAAACGTCGCGTTCGACGGGGTATCCGCGTGCCTCTCCGAAAGCTGAATACAGACAGAGGAAGATCTCGTTTGGACGACAAGTTTCATCGATAGAGTGCAAAGTATAAACTCATTGACTGTCATCGTTAACTAACCTGTATCAGACTGATCACATAGCAAAACAAAAATTGAAAATTGACTTTTATGTTTTATGTGCCATGCAGAAAAAAAGAACGATCTAATCTCTGATCATGGCCTGCTATGTGTAAACTACTATTTTGGCAGATATACATAAAACAAATATCTGCTTACATTAATCCGCGAATAATTAATTCTTCATCCACTGATAATAATTTCAAATGACATTTAATAACAATCAGTTGTAGTCGATAACATAATAGAAATTAAATAATAAAATTATAATTTCTTCATTTATTAAATTTGATAAAAATAAAACGTTTGCAAGGGAGAGACTTTACTATAATAATATATATTTTAAAACAACATACCTTTTAAAGAATCTTGAATTTCCCAACCTAGTTGCTGAATGAGATATCTATAACAACATAGCGCCGTAACGAGGTCTTCCATTAATCGTATATCACATATCCGAGTATTCGATATTTAAATAATAAATAAATGACAAATTCTCTTGATGACACACTACACGAGACGTAAAAAATATCCAGATATTCAGATACAAATTATACAAATTTTTTGCGAATATTTAAGACTTGGATATTCGAAAGTTCAAGCGGCAATAAATACACTTCAAATGATCAAAGGCGGTATGAGATTACATATTATAATACTGACCTACAAATTAAGTAACCAGTACGGTTCACTCCATGTGTGCAGTGGACTCCTATAAGTTCATCTGTAACAGAAAATGTATACATCTCACGATACACAACCTAGAGATGCAAGTTGGGAACAGTAATTTTCAAGTGACATTAGTATTATACGCACGCGAAAGATATACTTAATATATTCGTAATTTTACTTTACTGTCATAAAGAAAGAACAAAACTTACAGGTTTGTAAATTCAAGTGTCCGAATATCGCAGGCTTTCCGTGTATATTTCGTTTTCCGCAGGAGTTTCGTAAGTAACGAAGTAAAACATAACCGATAAAGTAATTATACGGCGACACGGATGTATGTATATGTGCGTGAGAGTCCGGTCGGCGGGACACGCGCGATCGGTATCTCGAAAGCGCTTTCGAGACGTCGGACGGCACACCGAGGAACGCGCAGGAACTGAAGAAATATTCGCTTGCAAAAAGGGCAGCCAATAAGGGCGCACCGCTACACGCGCGGCAAGGCGTACGATTCCACGGGTCATCAATTCGGCCCGGGGCGTGGGGTCGGCACCTCTTCGGGCCCAGCAAGGGGCTGATTATAATATTATCGCAAATTACCGGCAAAAGCTGCGACGAATTCACGACGATTCGTGACTCCGGCCACGGCCGGCCGGTCAGTCGCGGCGGCGACGGCGGCATTTTCGCAAGGGCCGCAAAACCTTAATGAGAGTAGTTGAACCAGTATAACGATCGAAGCACGTCTACCGCCTATCTCTTCTTCTTGGATTCCGCGTCGACCCGATCTTCTCCTCTTCCCCCCCTCGCATCGCGGTGTGTCTTCTCGTTTTCAGCGAAGCGCAAACGAGCGGAGGATAAGTACCAAGTACTTTAGAGGCACTTCGTACCTCCTTACCACGGCTTTCAGGGCGAATTAAGTGGCCCATCGCGAGTCATGCGATACGCCGTTTGACCTCTTGCATGCCGCTTGATCGAACGGAGAGAGTACATCGGTATCTCGAAACGAGATACAGCGCGAGTTGTGCCCTTCTCTTTTGATAGACGCGATATTGTACTACTCGCGAAGGACAATAATGCAAATATATATGTAGACGCGAAATGCACGGCGCCAGCGAGGCGATAAGATTTTCCGTGAAGAAAAAAAAATTGATGACGAACAGTCTAATAAAACTGCTGCAACGGAGCTATTTTCGATCTAGCATCCTTCGACGTAGCGTCCCGCGTAAAAGTATTAAGATAAATATATGTGAATGAGCAACAACGTGTTAGCGGACTCGAGTGTAAAAGCTATTTCTTCGTAAAGGAGTCCTTGGATTATCATATATGGGAAAATAACAGTGTGAAAAATCGCAGAATGTAAATCCTCAACTTGAATGGAACATAAACCGAAGAACTCGCGAACATTTGAAACAAGAGAGGATCGTAGATATTTCTGATATTTCACGAACAAAATATCAATCCTTCTCGAAAATCAATAGAGGCGAAATTTTATAGTATTGTTTCGCTTAAATGTTACACATTTGTAGGATCTAAAATTTATACAATCGTGGGCACGTGAGGAAAGTTTTCTCTTCTCTTCTTTCTTGAATGAGCTCGAAAAGGGCTCGTTAGATCGTAATAAATTAGAATAGAACAATGTACGCGTTACAATATAGTATTGTAACAAATCAGAGAAATAGTAATAAAAAAATTGCATTGATGTAATTCGAGATCAATGTACACGTGCACGATGTGCAAGGTATGCCCGTTTCACGTCGGTATATCTATCACGAGGTCATCTCAATTTTGCATACGCCAGAAATGTACTCTTAGCGAACGGGAATCTTCCCAGAACACGTCGGCATCTAATGTGAATCTGGAGCCAGCACCCCCGTGGAGCAGTTCTCCTTTATGCTAACAAATAAGCCCGATCCTCGAGCAGATTGTCGAAGACTTACGATTATTTTTACGGGCATTAATATATGTCGTTTTTTTTCCAACTGCCAAATGTTACCTCATTCCCCCCTCTATTTTCATAAGCTAAATAAAATAATTATCTAGTCAAGTTTATAAAAATATCATAATGTAAAGTACTTGCCACATATTAATTTATATACTAAATTTTCTTTAATAACTAAAATTTTCATTAATAACTGATTTTATTTCTGTTATAAAATTAAAGATTTCTCTGTAAAATAAACTGAAATTAAGAAAAAGGAATTCACTTAAACAAAAATCTTCGGCATTTAAAGAAGTGAAATTCACAGATTGGCACATGAATAATGTGTACATATGTACATGCCCATGTATCGGTATGAAATTACAACGACCAGAGGAATATTACGGAAGTCTTTCTGAGCACCCTGCTGTTTGGCAGCCGAAATCAAACGTTGCTCGACGGGAGCTGAAGCATAACGATAATAATGTCTGTTGGTCGAAAATGTGCCTTGTATATTCAGCAATGTCATTAATTAAGGATGAGCCCGTGATCAATTCGAAGTATTGGCTTCACACTGATGCAATTATTCGCAAACGTACAGTCCCCTCAAAAATTTATATTATAATATAAAATAAAAAAGTTTATATTATATTATATAAAAAGATAACATATAATATAATATAAATAATGTAAAATATGATCATCGAGATCTTTAAATCCGTTAAATTTATGCTGGAGTATTACGTCAAAAAAATTTATCCAGTAATCTTATTGCCATTTGAACTCAGTCGTGTCTGTCATTAATGGTCTTACAGATTGACAAGCGTTGCTATGTATTTAAAACATTTGTTCACATGCAATCATGATTTTTACTTATGCTTTCAGGATATTGCTACAGAAGGAGAAGGCATTGCTATTTAGAAAATCCCATTTACCGAAAATTTTGTTCGCTGGTTACATGCTTAGAAGATTGTAAGCTATTTAGTTAACGAGGTCAAGTAAAATGTTAGTTTCTAAGAAGATGGAACTTAAATATAATTACCATACGTCGCGAGAGAGATTTCGAACGAAGATTTCCTTGCTCTATTACAAGTTTCTTTCGCACACAAGAAGATTCCGAGTTTTGCTTACGAAGATAAATTCGAAATGCAGGAGAGCGGCGTAAAAGCGCGGTGTAAAAAGGTTTTCGGTAAGTAGCTCTTTGAACGAAGTAGAAATCCGCTACTTGTAATGAACTTCGATCCGTCACGTTTCAAACAGCGCGAAACGGAGCGACGGAAGGGGTCTCGGTTGCAGTGCACAATCTCGTGCATACTGATGGACGAGGGTGGGCGGTCGCATGCAAATATTGTTTTCGTTCGTGCCCCCGAGATATCGCCGACGTAGGAATAAAAGGCGGGCGGCGCACCCGGAATTGCACATGCCACTCCCCGTACGGCGGCGAAGGTTGGTTTTCGGGCTACTGGAGTAGTCCACGAGAGAGGTACGACCCGAAGCGACGTGGTAAACGTGGCAATATGATATATACGCGAGAGGTACGTCAGCTCAAATAGCCTCTGGTAGACGGGCGATATCCTGGCCATCTCGTGCCGAAGAACACGGGAGAGATCCTAGTAGCGCGAGAGCGTAAAGCCCCCGCCGGCCTTACGTGCACCGTAAGAACCGCCGAAATGAGGAAGGACGTTAACGTCCGCCATACATAAACATGAAAATATCGCCGGCTTGTTAGGGAGAGAGCTTTTCAAGCTGCCGATTACTGCCGTCTTAAATCAATCCACCGGTCCAAGTTTGATCGCGACGTGCACGTATACGGAGCGTGTCGCGAAACGAGAATGAAGGTTTTTGCAGTATGCCTTAACAAAAATTAATAATAATTCGATTTCGCGCGCGCAAAAAAAAAGTGAGGACTCGATGCTTTCAAAGTGCAGCAATTTATACTTTTGTTTTTAAAAATAATTAGATACACATTCAAATGATTTTTGAAAGCTCTATATAAATTTAGATATGGAAAATTAAAAGAAGAAAGGAATTGGCGTACGACTCTAAGGCACAAACTTGATTTCTAATGCATTAGAAATTTAATAATCGAATTAATAAGTGACAAGGTACTTAAGCATCCCTATATACGATCGACCGGCGTTTCAGTATTAGACATTGAATATAAGGTATTGATAAATGCTAAGTGGTGGCCAATGGATGGGCAACTGAGCGGCTCCTTTCGCCTTGGAATGCGTCTCAGCTTGTTCTTCGACGGACCCGTTCCACCTCCCAAGTTCGAGTTAGTTGATTCATAAGTTTCCCACGTACCTACACAAATCCGAGAGCTCTAAGTCGCGATAACGTTGACCTAGCACGCTCATGCAATTTCGACGGCAGAAATCCGAGATGGTTACGTTAGTTTCGCATCTTATAAACTTCCCCGCGGAATCTTGCAAATCCCAAGAATTTCGAAAGTTTCTGGATTTTGTGTGTAAGTTTAAAACAGTTCTGTCTGTCGGATAAATTTCAAAATTTCAAGCACCGTTCGAGAATTCCTGTTTAAAAAGGTTGTATACCTCGACGACAATAGATCTTAAAATACAATACATGAAGATCTGAGATAAACCAGAGATCAAAACTCGATTCTTAAATTACGGTGTACATGGTACACCAAATCCCCCGACGCGGCCTCATAGATATGACTGGCTGTTTGGCATGAGAAAAAATGGAGGGACAGAAAGACGCGAGAGTTATACACGCGGGGAAGAGAAGAAAAGGAAGAAAGCGACAACGCGGCTGAAGAAAGAGAAACGAGAGTAGAAAGGAGAAGAGGAAACACGCTCAAGGGAACTTTCTTCTCTACTGCTTGATAAACGGCGGCAGATAATTAACAACGCCCCGGTATACGTATTCTTCGCGCGTGGGCGATCCTTCGCTCCTCGAACTCCGGTCGAATTCGTTTCCAATCGTCGTCGTCGTCGTTGTCGTCGTCTTTGTCGAATTCTCCTCTCGTTCGAAACACAGAAGCCGGGATCGGCTACAATCGCGCGAGTAAAACAACCACCGACTATTCAACATTCGTTCTCACAACGTACAACACGGTCGAACCGTAATCGAGAGAGTAAATTAGGAAGGGATGCGTCCGTACAGTCGTGATCAGCAGTTTCGTTCAAAGCGAAGGAATTCCCGCGAGATTTTTCTTTCGAGTGCCCGTCAATGTTCGGTGTTCCTTCTTTTTTTTATGATTGTTGATACAAAGTTTCTTGAAAGCTATTCCCTACTGTTGTCAAACCTGATGCATTTTAGTTGGCGCCAATCAGACATGAGTCTTGCAACTTTCATCAAACATCTCTGCGATGCAACTACTCGCGATCAATGCAAAGCGTTACACATTTGTCCAAGACATTGTGGTAGATGCAATAAAGTTACATAGGTATCGATTTTTCCCCGTCGAGGGACTTTGTTTGAAATATATTTGAAGTAATGCAAACTCACCTTCACCGCATGCCGACATGAAATCATCCATCACTTTAAAGAATCTGCAAGGAAAGAGAGTAAAAAAATTTTTACTTTTGACAATATTAAATGTAATTGCAATCTAGTTTTGTGACTTTACCTTTCAAAAAGGCAATTGGCATTACAAAGAAGAATTTATGTTTTAGTAATCGATTTAAATTTATATAAAATTTTACATGACCGGAGCCAGCTGAAGAGACTTTCCTATGAGAAATATTAATACATGTGTATATTAGAGTGCATGTGTGTTAAACGTTCTACTGTCGTTTTAATAACGATCACTTCGTAGAACTTATTCATATGAGCATTAACATTTTTGCCATCTAATTATTTGCGCGGATTACATCCAGTTAGTTACCTCGACTAAATAATGTTATTAATATCTCAAGTGCGATATTATAAGCATGCGTAATAACAACGCCGCCTTTGAAAGGGCAGCAGCCTCTTATCCGTCCTTCACTCGCTGCCCATAATTTTACGAAGCAGCCAGCGCGACGGCGATCGAATTTCCCCGGTGAGCCGATGAAAAAAGTAATCGGCTAAATAAATATTCAGGTAACCGGTAACCGGTCGAGCAAACCGGCAGTGTAATAGCTATGTAATAGGTATGCAGAACCCGAGCGGCGAAACGAAGTAGTATGGTAATGAGACTTAAGAGCCGGAATGCCGTACGTCCTGAGTTACGGACGGGTGCAGCGTGTAAGAGTCCTTTACGCGTCACGCAGGGGCGCTAAGAAGTTAAATCGATTCCGAATTATGTCATGAAAACACGTCGCAACGGCGCTCACGCGTTTCCGACGCGGATTAATAATAGCTGCAGCGCCGACGATTTTTCAGCGGGCAACACATTTCCCCTTTTGTCTCCTATAAACTTTACCGTGAACTTACTGGCGGCTTCTTTGTGATCTATGGGATGGAAGGCAGGAGAAATGGAGAGACGAGAAAGAGATTTCTGAAACTTCGCAGATTCGAAGATAGGGGTGGCGCTTATATAATAATTTACGGGGGTGCAGTCATGCATCACGTCGGCTTCCCTTCACCACCGCCGCCGCGAGGGCGGAGAAGGAAAAGAATTCGTTAACGGATTAAGCCTACTTCGATTGCTCGATAAATTATGGAAAGGTGTTTACGTTTTTTTTTGGCGTTCTTATGGAATTTCGAAAATATTTCATAAAAAAGCGTCAAGTAAATATCACGTCGCGTTTCAATAACAACTAAATGATAAATAATATTGACTTCTCTTGCATAAATCTAACATTTCACATCAATATTGTATGATGCTTCCACTGTAATTATTCAAATTTAAAAAATACAATTTTATCGATATATGGTAATTATAGTAAATTACTACAATTTATTTCTATTAAAAATAATTGTTTCGTTTAAACGTTGTGCATCTTAAAATTAATTAACAATTTGAAAATGCCTCTCAAAGATCTCGTGCTGAGATAAGTTCAAGAAATGTGTTAAGATTTAGTTTCCAAGGAAATGAGAATAGTGGTGACAAGCATGAAATCGTTTCAATCCCCCTTCACAAACCCGAATAGACTTGGTTCCCCGAAAAGTTACTACGCTCGTTATTGTACTGGGGGATTGGGTGGCCCAATTGTGCCGGTCTATAGAGGCTTAATAGGGCCGTTTTAGTGCCTTTGGTCCCTTTCAACTCCGAAACGGACTCCCTACAGCACCGATTAGGCTAACGCGATTATAAGCACTAACTCATTCACGGCTTGCCGACTGGTCTCAACCACCGTTCAATATCGATAGGTTATAAGGTGAGAGATATTTATAACCTGCGAGGCTTGTTAACTCATAATGACTCTCGAAATAGGAGCATCTCGTTTGGGAGTGCACTCCAATAGGATCAAATCGTAAACATCATCGTTATTCTTAGGAACATTAACTACGTCAATGTGTTTTCATAAGTTGAGCAACCTAGTGAAGAATTTACTGTATGTCATAATTAGCGCACATCCAATATGAGAAATTTACACGCTATATGTGGCTTGCAGCACGTCATCTGTGCAAGGTCAGTGCAAGGAACGAGATAAATCTTCCGTGTACACGTATCGGTAGCGGAATAACGCGCAATGTCGACTGTCATTCGCTCCTAGAGCCGCGCATTTATAATACTTGAAATATTCGTAGCGCGTCTTCCTCGTTTCAAGAGCGTGACAGCACAATCACGGAGAGATGCATCTATCACGGGAGGGGGCGGGGGGCGGAGGAAGCGAAGGGAGTGTGGGCACGGCCTTCTACGGGATGAAATATCAAAAGATAGCTGCTGGGACTCCGCGTGCCGCGGCACGGCGCCGCCGAAAAGTGAAAAATGACGAGCGTTAAATTAATTTGACTTTCGGATTTGAATTACAGATTCGAGGAGGACGCGGAGGTGTCGTTGTACACGGCGCTTCGCACTCCACCCAGTTGAAATTCCCCTCGAAGAACCCAATATCGAGGACCAACTCCATCATCATCATGATGATGATGATCATCATCATCATCACGGCGTCATCAGCGCGATGGCCATATTTCCGACCCCGGCCCCGTCGGAAAACCAAAATCAAAAGCTCTGGACCCGCTATGTAAGACGAGCGGTCATCAATATTTATAAAACCAGTCATCTATCAGCGGTTGAATTCCTTCTAGGAATATTTTACTGCGTTTGCCGCTATGAATGCATAGATTTCACCGCGTATCGAGTGTTTACCTTTTTATTCAATATCGCGAAGTGTCATTTATCTTGCGCGTGTCGATGTTAGAGACCGCAAACTGATCGATTCGGCCACTAGGAAATAGTTAAATGCAATTCCGCTCGTTATACATGATATAATTTCGCGCATTTTTAATTTGTCATCTCGATCATTTTCGATCTTTAACAATAAAAAAAATTAATCTAGGACATATTTTTTAATACTAGTGCATACATAACAGGCGCGCGCTTCGCGCGCGCTGCGTATTAAATCCCATACGTCTCCCAATTACATTTATACCAATTTACATTTTAATTAAACAAATGTTAATTTTTGATATAAAATAAATTTTCAAAAAAATGATGCTTTTCGTGCGGTGCGTATTAAACTCCATACATCGTCCAATAACATTTATACCAAACTATATTTTAATTAAACAAATTTTAACAATTTTCAATAAAATAACGTTTTAATCGGCCATATTAATTCGGCCATTTTTAAATAAAATCACGATTTCTTAAAAAATAGTCACAAAAATTCATCTTTAAGATGAGCCCAGAAAGAAGTCTATATCTTTATTTTTTTGGAAGATATGAATTTTTAAACATTGGGGAAAAGAGGCTTCAACGCAGGTAACACGGCAATTTTAAGATAGGATTCGTACAATTACATAACATACATGAATACATGAAATTGGCACTATTAAAAATCATCTTTAATTGAACTATGTATTATCGCGTAAATTATCAATTGTTTAATCCTGTTATATTAGCAACAAAATTGCTATTATAATTTATAACAATTTCGTTAATTTATGAATATATTTTCATATATTGATTCTCTTTTTACAACATTTTTAAAAATACTTTTACTTTAAAATTATATGTACGTGACGTCTGGAGCAGTTTTCACCGAGGATTACGAATATAATATCGTTTCCAACCAAGGTGTTAATGGAACACGCTTTTACAATCTTCTCAAATCTAAGCGATAAGCGATCTTCGCTAATTAATTATAGGGCCCCTATCGAGATGACACTACCGATAACATCAGTTTACGTAGTCAGTTTTGTGTAAAATCGTAAAATTCACGTGGAAGAAGTCCGACCGAAATAAGGTGACGCGCTCGTGACCGAAATAAGTTGAAACCGCGAAACGACGTTTATGGCAGCGCGATTGTCGGTCGTAAGTGGCGTTCATTTGAATATCGCACGGTGTGTGTGGTCCTTCGCACGCGCCCACCGTACTACGTGCTCGCGCCCATTTGCGTGCGTGCGTGTAACTTTACCGGGAGATCACACGACCGGTCTATGTTATGCCGTGAAGACGACACGGTTGCGCAATCATACAGTTATCTAAAAGCTCGATCGTCGCCCGAAAAAACAGCGCATTGCTATTTAAATTCAATGAATATCAAGTTACAATTTTGCCGTCCGATAAGACGATGACAAATAAATACATCATGGTGCTCAGGTCTTTCAGACACGCAGACGCGCGTTGATCATGGGACATGTTAGGCTTTCGAAGTCCGTTAAGTGAACAATTTTTTGCTACAGCAGATTTTCGACTATAGTATTTTAACGTAAGCGACAGTCGAAATATAAAAGAGAATCATTGCATTCAATCGAGACGAAGACTAATTATAATAACGTTAAATGGCATTATACCTCGAACAATTCATAAGTCACTCGCGTCAACATGAGTGAAGTCTTATTTAACTTGTGCATATATTTTCATAAAATTCTTGGAACTTTTTTGGCTGAGACTACATTTTTATGTAAATTCTTTTTATTTTTCTATAATCATATGTGTTTTCGTAAAATTCTTGGAACTTTTTTGGCCGAGACTACATTTTTATGTAAATTTTTTTTAATTTTTTTATAATCATATGTATAATGCAATACAAACTTCGAAATTTGCCTTATTTCGTTTTAATATCCACAAATAGCATCAAAAAGACAAAATTAATCAAGTTTCTGGTCATAAAGAAATGATAAAATGATACAAATTATTCTGTGCCGTGAAGGATGATGAAAGAAGCAGTCGATAGCCCTTGATCGACGCTATGTAAGGCTATAATTTTGACATAATCTTCAAAATTTGTAAAACTTTTCGGCACAATATTTTCCAAATTGTGATATTGATATTTATCTTATAAAATCAACAACTATGTGTACTTGCAATGACAATAATACAGAAGAATATCATACTGCACTTTCCGAGTTGGAGTACGTATGTAACCTATATAGAATTTATTACATTAATGTTGTATATTAGTAAAATATGTAACTCCACATTTTTAAACACTTATCATTAAACATTTATCAATGTATAATAATTTCTAAAAAAACATTGTTAGAAAACATGCCATCACTAATTTTATATTATATACATATTCACGAAAAAATGTTTTCAATATTTAGTCATAATAAAAATATAATGTAGCACACATGTTATACTATAATACATATGCAATAATACATTCTTAATCTCATACAAACTTAAACTGTATTTCATAATTTTAAAGAATAAAAAATAAAAAATCGTTTTGATTTATTGAAAAAAATATTAAAAATTGTATGAACAATTAGATTAATTCCAGAATGGCGTACATCAACACGATATGAGGACATTTCTCCACAATACATCACAACTCCAAGAAAAACAGAAGGTTATCAATGTCCTCGAAGAAGGCGTACAAGAGCCTCACGTAAAGATATTACAACTGGAGTAGCCATTGTTCCGCGACGAATTGATTGTAAATAAAAAATTCTTGTATATAATAAACAAAATATAATTGTCATATGAGATAAAACAATCTAAGATATAACACAACAGTTATTTTTGTTTTCTTGAATCATAAAATTGCTTCCAAATCAAAACTTTTTAATTCCTGTTGAAACTAATCAACATAAAAGTATAAAATAAAAATCTAATCTAATCGTTTAATCAATTTTATCTTTCAGTTGATGCCGCATCAGATGTCGAGGATATTGACATCGAGGAAGATAGGAGCGGTAAATTGTATTACAATCGACGCGCATTACATTGAGATTTATCTTATGACATCTCTTTCATAATTAATATAGCAATAGATTAGATAATTTGCATAAAATGATTATACTTTTCCAGAGCAAGCGAGAGAAACATTACAGCGATTGAGAAGCGCGACAGAATCTCCGATCCCCACCCCCGAAACTGTTGCTCCTGGAATGTATAGATTGGCACGCACAAGAGCGACACAAAATTCACCGTATGTAAGACAGTACGTGCCTAGGATGGTTAGGATTACATCTTGCGGGAAATGTTTGAGAGTAAATAATTTTAACATATCTTCCTCCTTACGAGATACACAGATTTTTGTATAAATTTAATACGTCTTGATTTAATGAGAATCTTCCAATGCGAGTCTTCGAATTTAAATTAAAATTTAGTATCCCGAGAATATGTTTCTGACCAAATATCTTAAAGCGAAGTATGTGGTCATCGCGATCAAAGCTGACCTCTAGCTGACCAGCTAGCCTCTCTACTATTCCAAGCGCAGTTTTGGCTGCCCTTTCTTCCGCCCATAAATTCGTTTTCTGTGATTTTTACCCATGTTTGCGTTTTGCGTCACTGTTTTTTTTCCTTGCCCTACATTTAGACGAAAAGCTAAAACTTTTTAAATTTACCGCGATGAATAAATTAAATCTAGCTCTATAAATTATTAAGATAATTTAGTTGACCTCGATTATATGTACCTACTCTTTTGACAGATATAAAAGCACATCGAAGTAACCGTGAAAAGCAATTAACCAATCTACACAAGTATGTACACTCGTGCTTCTTTGCACTTTAACACTCTGCGTATCATATTTGATTTGTTTGTAAATATTCACCAGTAAATGCGTGAATTTTATTCAGGTGTTGCAACATATGGCATGACACGTAAAAAAAAATAGAGAAAATCCACGGCATTAGGAACAGTCGTACGGCACAACAGTTTTAATTGCAACAAGAATTCACCGTCCTGTTTTGCGCTCTTCGAAATTCACGACCACGGATTGTGTTTTGTACGCAAGTACGCATGGACCAGGGAAGTTGGCCCATCGCTGGAACGTAAGATCGTTCGTGTTTGAGAATGTTTAATGCATGGACCGCGCGGTCGTAGGTAGGTGAACGGTTAACCGATGTTTGTATGGCTGTACTCCCAGCACAGATCCCGGAACACCGAAGATATCGTAGAAGTACTGCGCAAACACTCCGACTGACTGTTTCTCAATCAGAGTCGCGTATACGGAAGGCACGCGGTTATAGCAGCACTCGGTACACGCCTGTTTTCACGGTCATTCCATCACCGAAGTGCGCAATTTGTCATCATATAAAACACATAGCTTTAAAATATACTCAATTTTAAAGATGCGACTATATATCTCCATTCGAAAATGAATAATTCATTTAGCTAATAATTGCACAAATTTATCAATAGAATTTATATTAATCAAAAATAAAATATCTTTCCGACAAGTTGGATCAATTGAAAGTCTGTCATACATATGATTGATATTTAGAACGTAAAATCTGAAAATTCAGAGTAAAAATAAGATTATTTTTGTACAAATAAACTTTCAAAAATAAAATCTTACCGTATATAGAATTAATTAGATAATAAAATTTCTCGCCATTTTTATACTCTCAAAGATTGATAGACGCTCAATGCTAAATAACATTCAAAGACAAGGTTTTCGTTAAGGAGAAGATTAATATTGACCCAGGAATACATTCTTATACATGCATTATCATTTCTGACCAAGGATGTCCGACCAATTCGGCGAATTCTCGGAAAAAGTTTTGTGTCGATATTTCGCGCGGAATCGTCTTTGAGCATCGTTGCCTGGTATCGCACGGAGAATGGGCGACGAGACGGCGCGTGCACGGACGAAACGGGCACGCGAAGACGCGGAGGACGCGAGTGGTGGCGAATTTACGTAATGAAGCGATCGCCCGGGTGGTCCCGAGCGTGAGACGCGCGTACGCACGTTCCTTCGTCGTTCCCGATGCGAGACGCTTGCCAAGATGGAGAGAACAAAGAGAGAGGCGAGAGAGCCAGGAGTCTCTCTTTCTTTCTCCTCTAAAGACTTGTAGCTCCAGCGTCGTTCAGCGCTCTCGGGCGAGCCGCGGCGAGCCGAATTAACGGCACCGGAAATACGAAGCAACGTGCACGCGCTCGGACATATTATGCGCATGGAAGAGAAACGCGCGCGCGAGCGCCTTTACCACCCACAATCATTTGCCAAAACGTGCCTCTCCCGTGATTTCCACGCGGCGCGCACCGTCGTCGGGGCACCGGGGGGCCCCCCGAGACGCCACACGTCAGAATATTTGAGATGGGTTCGCCCCGAGCGCTAAGGGAACCAATCGCCAATCTTTCAGAGAAACGTCGTCGAAGTTTATGTTCGCGCGATCATCAAAAGATTATCCCTCCCTCCTGGCAAAATTTAGATTTCTTGTTGAACTTGCAGAAGAAATTTTAAGGCTTTTTAATTACGTTCACCTTATTAAAATTGTCAGGAGAAGAACAAGATGTACTCTCTAAATTTTCTGGAGTGAATTTTCAATCTTTTGGAGTGCGATTCACTCCAGAAAATTTAGAGAGTATGTATATACAATGTGGATATTTTAACGTCAGTAGCTATAATTCGAATGACAATCAAAGAACCGCGATCTAATATTTTTGTTTTAAATTAAATTTGATTATATTTCGGAAAATATTTCAGTATATCTTAGAACCAATTCGATAGGTAAACAAACGGGCGGAAGATACAGCAAAATTAAAATTTATCATTAACATAATAGGAAGACAAAATAATAGGAGATATAGGAAGCATTGAAAAGCTAAAATAGTTAAAATAACTATGTGTACGATTTGAATCATGCATCACAAGTATAAAAAAATCCATTACTCCAATCCTAAAATCGTACATCAGGTACACATATTGCGCACGCTTGTGTTTCAATTAACATCATGTTTTACGTGAAATTGCATCTGCCGCACATGAAACTAACGAACCGCTATCAACGTGATTATCGTTGGTAACTGAAAACGTTTATGGAGTAAACGCTACCGAACACGCGCCTTACATGTTGCGGAAATCAACTGGCTATTAATTTCTTGGAAATAGTAACGTTGTTATATTTGCGCGTGACTCAATTAACAAATCACGTTGTTGAATTCCAAATTAAAAATTTACTCGTATATATGCATAAATCATAATTTAATAATTACACAGCAAAATAAAACTTTTAATACTCGATAACGCACAACTAATAATATAAAATTGCTTTACGACGGAAGATATAATTTGCGTGCCTTTATTTTATGTCTTTTCATTAACTTCCCAATTAAGTAAATCAATTATCGAATAAACACGGACACTTGTTGCCATGAACCCAGTTAACCGGCCATTTAAAGAGCGCAATTAGCCGCGTGAAATTTAAGACTCCGTCACGAGCGAGAGTAATCCCGTCCGTTCTTTCTCCGCGATTTCTCCTTTAATCGCCGACCGTCAATCCTGAATACGCAGCGCTGCGAAATAAGGAAACGTCGTTTACCTTCTAAATACCATTTTCGAGTGTCAACGAGCGTAGGCGCCCGCTGTAAGGCTATTTTTGGCACATTCGCGGCGCTTCGTAGACGCATTCGCGAGGGTATCCTTGAGGCAAAGGATCAACACTTTCGATCTTCCAGACGCGTGACGACCGCACGGATCGAGACGCGCGAAAGAGAAGAAATTCCGCGCGGTCGGTGTAAGTTAACGTTACTGTCTGATAAATTCCGCTGATACGAGCACCACGATCTCCGAAGGATGGACCAAAAAAAGCCAAGTAGGATGTTCCAGAGGAACATCGACGAAAAAGAGGTGATTTCTTTGCCACCTCCTTGCGCGACGACGTCTATGTTGACCGCTCAAGTCTCGCTCGCTAATCCCACCTTAATTTTCGTCCCATCCACCTCCGCGTTTTCGTCCGAGTTCAAGGATATCTAGGATATTAAGTGGCGCCTAGCGTTTTCACCTCTGGAAGTACCTCCGTACCTTCTGCCTCTTTCACTCCCTCTTTCTCTCTTCCCCATTCCAGCCGCGGCACAACGCCGGTAACCGATCCGATCCTATCAAGGATGCAGTTAATTACACGTCGCGCAACAGTCGAGCCACAAAGCCATCAGGTCTCACTCAAAGAGATCAACAAAAGAACGGTGCGCCTGGACCAGACGCGGGCATCCGCGCGGTAGGCTATTCGCATACCTGTCGGCTATTAACCGTTGATGCGAATCACCGTTTTATCCTCGAATTATACAAATCGGGCCGCGTTCTTTGTGCGGGACGATCGACGACCGGGGGAGGAGAGCGAGGAAGCCGGGCGATCGCGCGAAAGGTCGTGCTTTGACCCGCTCGGCTGAACCCGCGAGCGGTTCAACGCATGTGTTGCCCGCGTTAAAGAGATATCTCGTATATTTATTTCCCGTTCGGTCGAACGAGTAAATAGCATTTAATGCGATGGCCGGCGCAAAAATTCGGCCCGACGTCGTAAAAAGCTCACGCGCGTGTCACGTTTTTCGCGTGATGCACTTACGAGAATGTTTTTAGTAGCGCCCTCGCCGCGAGAAATAATTGCGTCGGATATCGCCGTGGAAACGTCTTCATATTTCTCCGCGAACGCAAATATTTCCCAACACTTGGGGAGGGGAGGAGCAGACATCCCGATAATTAATACTTTTATTACCGTAATAACAAATAATTTTTATACGTCGTAAGAAATCGCCGCTAATTACGGCGCTCGAGCATTACTCTTCCTCGATCGTATAACGCAATCCTTACACATTATTCGGCCGTGTATAGCACTTAGGGATATCTCTCGCGCGCACATGATAACGGAGGAAGAAGAGAGAAAGGGGACGAAAACGGGAGAAGGAGAGGGAGAAAGACAGGAGAGATGCGGAAGACGAGCAAGAGGACGGTGCACAATGTTCGGTAAATCATTGGACGTTTATTGCAGTTAATTAGTCGACTGACCGGCCCCCGTCAGGCTGCTTTGCATGTGCCATTCGAGGCAGAAGAGCTACACACGTGCGCGTGATGGCGCCATGCGGAGGTTAACACGTGTCTCCATTCCGTACGAGTAAAGTACGAAGAATTGGACGTTATCTTGGACATCGTCAGAATTTCGAGAATTTTATTCAACCCGTTCCGGCTACCTAACGGCCATCGGATGAGAATTTTAGTAATTGCATCTTCTCCGTTCACATACGCAAAATCCTTCGTGATCGGATTAAGATAAGAAGCAGAATTGTTATTGCTATTGACATTCTATCGATTCGTATAAATTTCTTTTGTGAATTTCTTACTCTTTAAAAGTATAAAGATAATTCTGCAAGAGCAAAGAATAACGCCATTCTACTTCCATTTAAAGAATTTTTTTAAGTAAAAAATGAAGTAAAAATGCAAAATTGTAGTTTTTTTGTTATAGTTTTTACGTTTCACTATAGTATAATATATTTTACTAAAAGTAATAATAAAATGCATCTTTTAAGCATTGACTGCTCAATATTATATATTTTATCTTATTGTTGCGGATGATGTACATTTTTATTTGAAAATGTGTCAAAAGGCATAACCGCGGAAATAATTCCTTTATCGTTTGAAAAACCGCGTCTACACAGCAACGCTATTAAGCGTGGAAGTTGCATCATCGCTCACAGTGGCAAACGATTAAAGCCGAACGCGACAAAAATCGTCGAGACACTCGTCGCGCAAGGTCAATCATAACTAAACTCATTACTCGCTGCGATGTAAACTAAGATATTCCGGATAGTGTAACACGATTCGCTATATACCTGGCGCTTTACGGTCTAAATTAGTGGACGAAAAAATTCGGAGAAAGAGAGAAAGAGAAGAAAGGAGAAAGAAAGAGCGGCGATAAATTTCTGACGCGATACTCGCCCCTGGTCTCTCGACGGCGGAATGTCGAGAACCAGAAAAACGGTACACGCTGGGACTCGGCTTCCTTGTTAAGGTAACATGATTTGCAGGCGAATGATTAACCGGCCGTCACCTGCGCTATGCGAATCGCGCGCTGATCAATCGCCAATCGCCGTGAAGGGATAATAAATGTGAAATACGATTGGCATTAAGCGAGAGGTTAACGCAAGTCGTACCAGAAAAGGTCCGCGTTGTCTTGCACGCGCGTGCCTGACATTAAGTCGAATGGATTGTTGGCGGAGCCTACTACGATTCAATGGGGAGCTATTCCATATCGGATCAATCTTTTTCTTTTGAGTATTAATAAATAATTTCTTTGAACTGCAATCATCGGTTCAAAGTTATAATTTTTAAGGCATCATATTATTATATTTGCAAAATTTGCAATTTTCAGAGAAACATTCTAAACAAATTCAGATTTTTAATATTATAAATAATTGAAATCATTCGCATACTTACTTTTTGATTATATCCATAGGCGGGATCTTCCTCCCTGGTATGGCAATCTTCTCATATCTAACACCAGCATTTGTAAATTCCTACAACAGAACCGTTAACAATAATATAAACAATCACATGCATATTGTTGCATAATAAAAGCAGAATATTCTGCGCCGCATCAAACGCAGACGCATTAATAGAACGCGTATTGAATTGAACACGCGTATAATTTGATCGACCAAGCTATTGTCCTGTTAAACCGTCCCGACGCACTCATTAGCATCATTAATTATCACGCATAAAACCGTCAATTACAAACAATGTGGATAATCATAGTTTCTGAGTGCAAGCGTGTCATTCAAGTATGATGTAAACCGCACGCTCGGAAATCGAAACAATCGATCGTTACGATACGAAATTTGCAAGGGCGGAAAGGAAAAATACGACTCTGTTAGACTAATCGACATGAATAAAAGAGAGATTCACAGTCATTTGTATCTCGGAAAGTATCCTTTGGTATACGCATGTCCGCCTAAAGGCAACAACGAGTGTTGTATATTCATGAATCTCTCTATTATCTGTCTCTCAGTTGGTCTCAAACCTTCAAAAACACGACTAATAAATTTAAACGGGAAATAGATTAAATAATATAAGAAAAAATAAATCATTGCGAAAAAAATATAAATAACATTTACATGTAAATTTAATAATAAGTAAATAAATCTAATAACCAAAATCAAATAACCATATAAAATTAATTTTAAAAAATAAAGCGACATTTTACTGTGTTTAATGTCAATTTTAATTATTAAATTTATTGTCACCCTTGATTATTAGAAAACGTCGCTAACGATAACAATAGTAACACAAGTGTAACTCTAACCCGAGTGATGTCAGATAACAGTTACCACTCTGATGACAGATCACGTCATAATAATCAATCTTTTTGACTTCGCTTTTAGCGGGATATTAGAAACTCAATCTTGGTGATCGTGCACTATTGCGCTTAATGGCTATATCGGACCTATTTTCTTTTTTCCGGCCGTCCATAACGCGCAAGAAATTCTTTCGCACGTTCAAGAATATCTCCGAATCTCAATCTCGACAAGAACAAAATAAAATTATATTAAATAAGAAAAATTAATTTTCAGAGGCAAGAAATTTTGTAATAAAAATTATAAATTCTCCGTTCCAATAAGAGAGATTTTCTCTAATCGAATAATCTAAGATTATTATCTAAGATTTTAGGAAGATGAAAGTAGAAAAATGAGCGTGCATCATATACACAAATCGGAAGTTTTGTATATGTTAATATACACAAAACTGAGAGAGTAAAAGACACATCTGATACTGATGATAAAATCTTCACGAACCGGTATGCGAGTATATCCTTTGTCTCTACAATCTTGTTTTCTCCCGACACACGGACAGGAAAATTAAAGGACCGACTAAGCGCTTCATTATACATGTATAATGCGCTCTAATTAGGCGTGGGCGACACCGAGAGATCTCTCTGTTAATTATCGTTGCCCCACAGCGCTATTGATGTTCACGGCGGCGTGTATAATGTTTTTAAAACATATTCCCCCTGAGATTCCTCACTCTTCTCGCGTGGCAAATGGCTGTCCAAACCGTCGGTGGGGCCGGGACAAAAAGCAAAAGATGAAGCGACCGAACCGACTCCACGACTTATTAATATAATTGATCGGTCTTCTCGGTCCTTCTCTCTGACAGCTCTGACCCAGAAAACATTGCGGACACATTCCCGTTCGACACAACGACTCGGATCGGCGGCAGTCAGTCAGCCGATCGGAGCCGTGGCAGCCGGTTATTCCAAAAATCTAATAATAAGTTCATTAGCTCGCGCGGCCCCTCTACCCTCGCTACAAATTAGTCAGACCGCTCTCGAGCGTTCTCAAGTCGGAACTGACCCCGATGCGATATTAGGATGTCAAGGCGAGAGCAAGTGAGAAAAGGTAGATGAAACCGAGGAGAAAAAGGTACGATAGACGCGAATGACGATAATAGATAGTTGAACCGTGAAGTTTGAGGGGAAAAAAAGAGGAGAGAATCTGTATATCTGCTCGATCAAGGAATGCAGCAGGTGACAGCTTGCGGGAGAGCGAGAAGAGAAGACGTCTCTTGTCTCGAGTTACTAAAAGGTAAGGGAGCGCGTGCATAAACATAGCGAATTACGACTTGAAATTCGAACGATACACGATATGTTTCCGCATTAAATTCATGTGGCGACATCAGTATTATTTCATCAGACAATATTGCCTGCATATGGCCCGTTTTTAATCGCGTGTAACAATCTCAAATTAATTTATTTTCTACGTTACATTCTGCATTATATTTACAACAATATTTGTTTCAAAATCAGCACAATTATCGACATGTATTAATTATCGAGTACGTAGGATGACCATTCTTCGCAGGTCAACGAAGTCAGTCGTTTGGTTACGGTAAATTCAAGTTATGGCTTTGTATCCCTTACCTTTTTGTCATAGTAGCGACATGTATTGGTCAAGTCGACGATATACTTGAGATGTGGAAATGCTTGCAGCAATATTGCCGAAGTAAATCTGCAACAACGGATATAGCCGGATTATAATGTGCGCGCTGAGTGGCGTTTTCGATTTATCGACCGCTCGTAAAATCCCTGCGCTACTTAAATCATAAAACGACGTCTCTCTTCGCTTATAGACGTAGAGAAGATAGGATAGAACCGAGTCGGTTAAGACGGCGTACGCGGCGGAAAGATTCCTCTCGAGGGGCGCGATCTGTACGACTGGATGATATATTAAGGGAGGCAAGGAATCTCCGAGGTTCCAAGCGAAAGGGATCGGATTAGGCGGGGGTGTCGGCCCAAATAGTTTCACCATCCCTTTCGATATATCAAAACCTTTTGAGAGACGTACCAGGTGCATGCGTGCGTGCGTGCGTGCGTGCGTGCGTGCATGCATGCGTGCATGCGTGCGTAGATACAGAAACGAGCACGGCCGTGCTTCGCCTCGAACGATTCCCCATAAATAAACAACCCTCGCTCGTGTCCGCGCCGAGATGTTATTAAAAAAAACTTGTGAAATTTATTAGGATACTAGTCGATTTAAAAGCAATTAGCGGCGAGCTAATGTGACCCGGCATGATTTATGTAACTGACCAAGTGAGAAGTATCGCGTCTCTTCGAGCGCACCACTGTAATCATTACATATAATTTCCACGACCGCCACACGATTTATCGACGAACGACTAATATCCCCCTTTTTTTCCTTTCTTTTCGCGCGTCGGGTTACCGCGGCGCGACACCGCACTCCGTCGATCTCGCTAATGTGCTTTAGTACGCTCATGCATCATCTCCTGTCTGCAAGGAGCGAAATTCTGCACCGTGCGGTAAACGCGGTGCAGATATCCGCGGGATGAAAGAGAGGTCGACCACGGTGTTTACACGAGAGGTGTCCGAAACGACAAGTCATTCCGATACTCACCGTTGCTCCGGCTGCAGATTCCTCGCTATGGCCTGAAACAAAAAAGAAGACAGCATTCGTCATCGAGGAAGAAGCTCGGCGAGAAATAATTAATAGCCCTTAGCTTAGCGACTGCGCGATCGCTTCGGAGGAAACTTTAAACGGCGTCTCCGAACGACTTCATCGCGAGATGATTACCTTCGCGCTTGCATACCTTCGTCTCATAAGACCTGCATGGATGTACCGATACCGCAAGTCATCTCCCATTTCTGGTTAATTAATAGCGCAAGCTTAATATACCGCACGAGACAATCACGCGCCGCGATCACGGATCGCTAACGAGTGATTGATTGACTCGAGTCTCACGTTGAGTAACGATACGCGACGACGTCGGTGGTGAACACCGGTGGGGAAACTCTAAAGGCACGCTCCCGCCACGGGCACGATGACTCGATGATTGTAACACCGGCACTTCCCGATAGAGAAGACATCGATATCAAAGACAGATAGTCTACCGATTCTAACTCGCCGATATTCACATTGTCATGATGAACATTTTTGTAAGATTATTTTGAAGACTATGTAATTGCCAAAATTACATCGTCCTTAAATTTGTTCTATCCATTCTACTTATATTTTTTTAACAATATACGGAAAAAAGTGCACTTATTAATGTTATATTTTTCAGAATGCATGAAAATTCAGATAAATAATGCAATTTCCAGAAAATAATAATATGGAGCCTATACTCATATACGCACGTTTTAGATTAACAGGCGTAGAATACGGTGCAAGGTAAATTGAAACTTTCGTTAATCGGCTTGTAACGTCGCACCCGCTATGGGTGGGCTAATGGTAATTACGGGTTTAGACGTAGCTATCCGATTGGCTGGGCGGAGAGATCGTATCTACGGATGAGTACGGAATGAGTATCGGTCGCATTAATAATGGACTCGTGGTATGGCTTTCGTATCCGAACGTAATAATCTGACATTGACTAGGCGTGAGATATTTCCCTATCCTGTTTATAATACTGCTCCTGTTGCTCGTACATTTCATCTTGAAATGTAATTTCGTGGTTTCACAATCAACACAATTCGTGAAATGCGTACATTAGAGATGAGTGTTCACACGCATTATAAAGTATAAAAACGATTTTCTCTATGATATAAATGCACTTCTTGATGCATTAATAAATTAATCAAATGCAACTCGATAAACTCTTGTTTGTAATTTAACGTAATTTCTTATGATTTTTAATGTAATTAAAAAATAGTTTCCGTTTTTAATATCGCGAATAATGACGGTGCTGTAACTAACGATTCGATAATTATGTGCAGTCCGTATATGATGTAAGAGCATAAGATTAAAAATTCACAATGGACAATGCTACGGCGTAATCGTGACTGGCGAATGCCAGCGTGCGCCTCGCCTTTGACGAGTCGAGATTCGCGTATTTACGCTCCAAGTAAGGACAGAAGGCGCGAGGTAAATGCAAGGATTTACGAGCCTTCTCGGGAGAGGACATTCGCGGCACTCCTCGACGGAACGACCGGGTACGCAAACCACGACGAGCGAAGAAGAGCCGAAAGGAGAGAAAGAGGAATGAAAGGGGAAGCGAAGGAGAAGGATGGAGGATACAGGTAGCTTTTGGACCACCTGCGAAATTTACTAACCCCACTCGCACCGGGGGCAGTTTATTTTTCGCACGATATACTCCATTCCTCGCGGTTGACAGCCGAATCGCTCTCTCCGCTGATTCCACCATTCAATTTCACGATCCTTAGTCTAATATATGGGCCCGTCTAAATCAGGATTATCGGACCGCGCCCGCATTGTGAATCTTCCGTGACGGTTCGCACGAGTTCACGCAGCATCCGTCGCGCGTCGAAAAGTTTCCTGCTGTGCCTCCCAATTTTCACCTTAATCGCGTATATGCTTCGGAGAATCATTTGTTTTCATAATTACTTAAAATAACGTATATTGATTTCGGAATTAAATATTATTTCGTACATCTCTTCTGTACTCTATTATAATAGCTGAATTTTTTATCACAAAAAAAATATATTAAAAAATAATTTTATAATTTCTTATACGTATAATATATTAAAGAGAATTGAATAAAGAGAATAAAGTTTTACCCTAACGAAAACTTAGACAAAATAACTTTAGTTGATAAGAAGCGCGTGATGAAAGTCCAAAACAAAGCTTTGCACGTCGACAAATTTGATCGACCAAAAACACAACGAGAGATGTTAAATCATATATCGCTGTGTCAATAATATGTACATATGTTTTAGCAAAAGATCTGAACATGAATAAAAGTTACAGATTTATTAAAATAAAAAAAAATAAACATTTACCAAAAAACGTATCAAAATATTTTCACATTTTGATATATAATACAACTATAGGTATATCGTTATACAATGGAAAATTTGTGTAGGTCATAAAAATTCATAAAAATGAGTGTTGATCAAATACGCGGTACGAAGCCATCGAAAAACGTGATCTTCGCGCGCGACGTAGGCGTTAGCCAACGGTAGGTATCGGTGATATTTATTGGAAATATTTACGAGGGGTGAGCTTCCACGCCTTTGTACCGAGTGGGCCGTAATATTTCCAAGGTCCATGCCTGGTCGACGGCGTAATCTCGGCGAAACTGGCGTGAGAACTTTGGCGAACGACGAATAACCGCAAATTCAGGTGCGACATATCGACAATATGATCGAAGTTTTCAAAATTCGGAAATGGTATGTCGCAAATCGTTAAAAATAATAATATAATTATAATTATTAAAAATAATTATATGATTATCATTATTACACAGTTATGAACCGACATTTTTACCTATATTTTTTTCAAACTATAGAAAAATAAAAATATCTTGGTTTTTATATACTCAATTTTTAAAGACGTAATTATGAGAGAAATTAATCAATAAGAATAAAAATTATCTGGGGCAAGAACATCATAAATTATATTGAAAATGTAAAAAACGTTAATTTCGTAAAAATAATAAACTCGTAGCAACTGACTAATTCTCATATCTCTCCGAAAGACACAATACACGGTAAATTAGCCAAGCAAAATTGGTCTAATGCAAACTAGGACGGCACAGCAATTCAAAGGGTGATGCAAACAATGGCACATGCGAGCGAACAGAAGCACTCTCGTAATAGAAATAAGCGAAACGTCGTCAAATTCCACGTGTCACCAGGTTACTATATACTCCAATGAATTGTCCGTAAACTCCTATTTTCCTGAATGAGCGCAGTGTGCATAAAGAGCAAACTAGGCAGAACATTGCCATATCAAGTGTTGACCAAAAAAATAATTGTATTTATCGTCTCATTTAACACGTTCATTCAAAAATATCTTTCAAAATTAACTTCACAAACAAGTATTGTCCAAAACTTATTGCGTTAATTGTGGAAAATCATAGTAAAACGTTATTTCAAAATATAACAATCACTGAATAATTAAATAATTTTATGCAATCAAAAAAAGAATCCATTTCATCAAACTATTCAAAATCGATTTCTTAAATTTATATGTAGAGATTATAATCATTAATTTTATTAACTAACCTAAAAAAAGTTTCTTAAAAAAATATTATAATTTATAAATTATAAATCAGCGATTTATAATATTTATTTTGGTCTTTAAAACTTCGTATTATCAATTGTATACAGGAATAATTATCTAGAATATAAGAAAATACAAACACTGCACAGATTTACTGCGAACAAAGCCTACGAGAACGAGAGGGAGGAAAAAGCAAGCCGGCGACCTGCGAAAGGAACATTTTATACTGCCTGAGAGAGCGAGTGACATTTCTACGCGTTCATATAGAGCTATGCAAGGAAGCCATATAGACTGCTATATGACCATCTCGAACTGATATATGCGCGACGTTATTCGTATCCACTTACTTCCTCGTTTGGCAGAAGATTCGAAACGATCTGAAATGGGTCACCTATGCAGACAGAAGACGTGTACGACAACACGACGACGCATCGCATCACAGTTTGCTAATCATCATCAATGACTTCTTAGCAGTCACTAAAAGATGCGTCATCGATTGCATATAAACTCGAGAAACATTGAAACTTCTAAATGTAAAAAATAAAAAATGTAAGAAAGAAAAAACCTTTGTCATTACACGGATTTAAGTTTCGACGTAATTAAGTGTCAATTATATAATTATATAATTTCTAGTTCTAATCCCAAATTTATTCTTTTCCTTTATCTTTTAGATTACCCCGATAAACAATATAATTTATCTTAACATAAAATATTCCTTAACACGCAAGAAGTAATTTCAGTTGCATATAATCTTGGATAATAAATAGAACGTGAATCCATCAATCTCCGTTTCCCACGTGCGCAGAAAGGTAAACTAATTTAAAAGTAGAATGCCCTCGTGAGAATCTATGAAAATTGATTCTCTATCCACCTTCTCTAGTAATCACACCTCAGTTCGACATTCCGCGTCTACGATTCCACAATTTCCGAAAAGATCCAAAGCCAATCGATACACCGTCGTCGATTAGCGACCACTCCTCAGGGCCCCATTGTGCCCAGTGAATTGACCATTAGCGGCGTTCCAAGAGATATCATCGGTCATTATGCGGCGGTGAAATATATAAGGTATCTCAGATGTACGCGTCTTTCTGAGTTTTACGTAAAAAATTTACGGATAATAAATTTGAAACGGTATAATGAAATCGCGTGTTGAATCACGAGATCGACCAAATGATTTCGGCAGTGAGGTGCCAAAATTCTCCGAGATAAAACGACAAGCGACGAGAGAAATTAAATCGTTTGTATCAGCGATACATCAAGGTTTATTCCTTAATGTACGGATGCTGCAACCGCTCGGCAATTGATTGTAGACGTCGCATTACCGCGATACGACGGCGTAGTGACAGCGTCTCGCCATTCTGTGTGAATAACGAATTAGTACCGCTCCGACACGTGGCTTTATAGACTACCATCCGCGCGCCGCGTGTATCCTATCACCGGCTATCGTGAGACGCTCAGGCACAGC